ATATATATTAGGTATATATATATATATATATTAGGGTGAGTCAAAAAAATCAATTATTTTTTTTTTACAAGTGCCATGGAAAAATGGGTTGCTAGATATCTTAAAAAAAAATTCTCACCAAATATGAGCTCTTAATTTTAATAGGAAGATCCTCCTCCTTCTCATCGCAGTTTTGTTTCTATTTTTTTTCTCAGTCCAATAGAATAAAATTCATATCTCATCATTAATTGATTGTAGAGAAAAATGTTCTAGACAAATTTTGTAGGAAATTTAATGCTCTACAAAAAAGGTATCTTAGATTTTTTTCCATAAACCTCACCATTTGAATGATATTCATGATTGAAGTTTGATTATTTTAAGACAAATTTCATTTTTTGTTGTTGATAAATTTTATAACTCGACAATAAATGACTATTAAAAAATGTGCAATACAAATTTTTGTAGGAAATTAACTGTTCTATAAAAATGGTGTCTTATGTTTTGGCGATTAAATTAAGCGTTCAAAAGATATTTAGAGACAGAAATCAGTACACATGAAAGTTTGATGATGAATATATGTATATATATCGTTGTTGGGAGTCCTTAATTCCCAAGTAAACTTGATAAATTAATTGTGTGCTAGGGATAAAGAAAAAGAAAGAAAGAAATAGAATAAAAAAAAAAAAAAAGAAACAGCAAACTATTCGACTAGGTTTGGTGTAAACTATGGAAACCTAGTTTTTTTGTTGATTGACACGTTGTATATATATATATATATATCAACCATCGTTCCTTCACACGTTTTTATTTTTCTGTAAATATTTTCAGTCACTAATAATATCGAATAAAAAATACGTATATTTCGTGTTCCTTTTTTTTTTTTTTTTGTCTTTTTATTTTTCTTGTTTTTTATTTCTTTTATTTTTTTTCTTCCAATCATGCACGAACAAAACTGTTACAATATATATGTTATATGTACGAATAAAAAGTGAAAGGAAAAAAATAATAAAATAAAGATAAAAAAGTAAACATATATATATATTTTATAATATTTATAATATTATGTTATATAAATATATAATAAAAAATATATAACATATTGCGTTCATTATTCAAATTAATTACATAGTCTATATTCTATAGTTTTCTATAGTTTAGTATGGTTTAGTATTAATAAATAAAATCAAATTAAATTAAATTAAAATAATATAATTATTAAGAGTTAAATATATAGAATGAGATTTTTTTTTTAAGTCAATTAAATAGCGAACGAAATTATATATTTTATTTAATTTAGAAATAAATAATATATATATATATGTTCACCCCAAATTTCGTACAAATTAAAGGTACGTGAACATTCCACCAGTCATAGTCCAATTTAATATTAATAAATAAAATTAAATAAAAATATAAATAAAAAAAAAG